GTGCCAGTGGCCATATGTCCCAGATGAAGTACTGGACAGATAAAAAGAATGAACAGATTTGGTCCACATGGTTCTGAAATATGACTGCAGATGGACAGTCAGATGGTCCCTGTTTCGAAAATACAAAACACCAATATTATCATATACATATAGTACTGACTTGAACCTAGCTCAAATATGCACATATATGCATCACCCCCCCCCCCCAATAAACATATGGTTTTTCAGCTATCAGTGGAACAGGCGCACACAGGTTTCTGCACCATATAACAATATTGGTTTGATTTTGGAATTAAATAACTTGATAAAGATGTTGTTATTGTGTGAAATAGTCAAGTCATCTGCATAGAATTAATTGATTGTCTAAATGGCTAGATTTAATGGTTCTTTACAAGAATCTAACAAGGTATTAGGTCAATAATAAATAGGCTAAACAATGAACTTACTACATATCTCTATTTCACACCTTCATTAATATTAAATATTTCTGTCCTTTTATTTTCAATTTTAATTGCTGCATTGGTATTAATATATGAAAATAACACAAAGATTGTCACAACAATACACCTGGTCAGTTCTGTAATAAGGATGTTTATTCCTTTCAACGTTTCACCCTAGAATTAGGGCTTCTTCAGGACAACTGTTGTAAAACAAATAGATACAGTGTGTAAATGATTGTGATTGAAAATGGTACAGTGAAAATAACGTGATTACAAGTACAATGTATTTACAAAAATGATAATAATACAAAAACTTGAGATGTAAATTGGCATAACCCATACAGAGGCTGGACACCTATTTATAGGTGTAATAGGTGGCGCTTTTAGATTTACATGTGTTTATAGTTTATAAAGTTTATAAAGTTTACTATTGAATCCTACATTTAATAATTTGTAGAACATACTAAAATCTACATAATAAACGTAAAACTGATTTTTTTATCATATAGTGTCAATCTGCTACGATGCGCGTTTTGTAGGGTTCAGTTAATCGCAGTCCCTCCACACGTAGGGACTGTGATTTAATGCTTAAACGTGGAGGTTTATCGGACAATAACAAACGTAAGGCTGAACTCAAAAATGACTGACCTTTGAGCTCCCTAACCTGACCTTAATATTTTACTAATAGAGGGCGCACTATCAATAAACAATCATGTATTTTAAATAATGACATAATCATATAAGTAGTAAAACGTGTGTTGTTGAAATGAATTGTATGCAATTTCACAAAATTGTTCATGTTTTTTTTTTTTTTTTTTTTTTTATTTCAACTTGCGACTCCCCTCCTTATGGTAATGGCATGATCCGGCGCGTTGAGAACATACAGCTGGTTAGCTCACACACGGTTATTTAGTAACCGTGGCTCACTGTTTCACAATTCACGAAACATTATGGCGCCCGGTGCATAATATTTTTAGCAATTCGTTCAAATTCAGACAATCGAATATTACCCGTAAAGCTTGCTATGCTTTTTCTAACTTGTTATCATACTGCAGGCTGAATCTCGTTATGCTCCAGTCAATGTCAACATCGACCCCCTCCCACCTCGGGCGATACGGGACAAATGTGGCGCATTAGACGGGGTTTACCGCCAAACTGTGCCCGTGGAGGTGGGATAATAACCGTGTTTCGTGTCCCGTCATTGCTAGCTGCGCATGCGTATGCGCTCATTGAGTACTCTGTTGATAGCTTAGGCCAGACTTGTTTTATTCCTTGTTTCTCGAGGTTTTATAAGGCAAATTTTTTGAGGAGGGCGGGAAAAAATATTAATTCTTTTTTTCCATAAGATTTGTGTGATTCTCAAAGAACTGTCAGTGAGATCATTGATCGGAGAGAAAGAAATGAAATAAAATTGTATTCCATGTATAACCTTGTTTCTCATCTGCGCGAGACTTCGGTACTTTGATCATGATACTGCAACACGAAAATGCAACTTGGATTTGTGAAGATAAAAATAAGTTTTTTTTAGCATTTTTTTGCGCTCACAAGTCGGTGGGCCCGAGAAATTACGCTGAAATAAATTTTTATTTTTATTTCATTTTCGGCTCCTGTTCATTCGGCGGGTTCGCGAAACAAGGGATAATAAAAGTATGGCTTTACTTATTTTACTTTATTAAAAGGGGGGATTAAAATGGTAATATTTACACTAAAAAAAAACTAGACTAATAAAACAAAACATTAAGACTAAAGTAATGATTAAAAAAATAATAATAATCGAAATAAAAAGAAATAAAAAACATGAATAGTAATATATCCCATTAATAGCATGAGCAAGCATGGCGGACAGTGGCGATCGATGGGGGGAAATGTGGGGGTTTGTTTTTGGTGGGAATTTGTCAATCCTTCTTGCCCCAGGAGTTGGGGCATTTGGCAAATTTTACAACAACAATTTCCAAATCCCCCACAAAACCCCGAGGTTTAGAGGGTGGGGTTGACATTGACTGGACCATTTCACGGCAAATGTGTTCGTGGAATTACTGACACGATGTTTCCGGGTCCGATCGGTAATTCCGTTATCACACGTTGATAATATGGAATATTTGGAAAACAAAACAAAGTAAAGTAAAGTCGTGCCGAATACGATAATCCAAAGAAGGGTAAGGATATTATAATTCGGACAGATGAACTAATTATTCGAAGATATCACTAGTAATAACAGTACTGATTTCAAGTTGATATGAACAATATCGTCATAGCAAAACGAAAAAAGCATCCCGTCACCAGGGTGCAAGGACATCACAACTGCAGCTACATCACGAATGGCGTTGGTGAGCAATACACATACCTGTAAAACGTGTGCAGTACTGTGTGCGAAAATACTGGCCAGCAGTAGTCTTACGACATGTACGTAGCTAACAGCACTGCTAATTTATTCAAGACGAATAGGTCAATGTTCTCTCAAAAGTTCCAGTCTGTTGTGTGAGGGCGCTGCAAATAAGTACATGTGACGAATTGTGCATACAGCTACTAGGGTAGTATCTAAATTCAAATGTTAATGGTGCCAGCACTCAGGGGCGGATCCAGCAAAAATGTATTGCGGGGGGGGGG